TTGCTTTATTTGTGGTTTGATCGGCCACAGCGAAAGATTTTGTATCAAGGATTTTGAATCCAAGGAAATTGTAGTGGGAAGATTGTATGGTCCTGAGCTTAGAGCAGCGAACCGCCGGCAAAACCCACAAGCATACAGGTGGCTACTTTCGCAGAGACCAGAACAGAGCACTTCGCCGGAAAACACCTCGACCACCAACGTTAACCTGGATCAACAGCGGATGGGAAACCCGAGGTACGAGGAACCTTCTGGATAAAAGGAACATGCACAATGTTTTTATCCACAGGGCAATACCCAGAATGAGATGGCAGCGGTCAGCAGCGACATTGAATGTGCTTTTAATTTTCCTGGGAAAACAGCTGGAACTAGTCTCCCAAGTCAAATGGAGTTACCAAGGCCCGGCCAGCTATCCTTCAACCAAGGCTTTAATTGCATTTCTACCGAGGCGGTTTATTCTGGAGGTGTGCTTAAGGGTAATTCAATGTTTTTGCCTAACTTGCAAAGCCCAATGGCTGTTGGGCCTAACAGTCATAATCTTATTGGACTGGAACAGAGGAAAAAGATAAAGGGCCTGGAAATCACAGTACATAGCCAATTTCTAGAGATGGACAGTGATGAGGTTTATCCGAATCTCTCAAAAAACTTGCTAGAGGCGGGACTTGTTTCACAGGCCCGCCTATCTCAATGAGTTTCATAGCTTGGAACTGTCGGGGACTTGGCAATCCCGCGACGGTTCAAGTTCTTGTGGACATGGTCCACGCCAAGAAACCTATTTTATTATTTTTTATGGAAACACATCTTGATACGAGTAAGATGGAAAATGTTAAATTAAAGTTGGGTTTTAATAGTTGCCTCGCTGTTGATAGCACTGGATCAAGCGGTGGCCTAGCTCTTCTCTAGAATGCGAGTGTAGATGTCTCTATTGCGGGTTTCTCCACTAATCATATTGACGCCATTGTCAAACTGGATAATTGCACATCTGATTGGAGGTTTACAGGGTTCTATGGATATCCGGAATGGGGGAGGCGTAAATCTTCTTGGGATTTGCTTAAACACCTATCTACCGTTAATAATTTGCTTGGCTCACTATGGGCGACTTTAACGATCTTCTCCTTCCTAGTGATAAAATCGGAGGTCGCCCCCACCCAAATTGGCTTTTCCAAGGTTTCAAGGAAGCAATCAATTACAGCGGCTTGAGGAACGTCAGCTTCGAGGGTTACCAATACACTTGGGAGAAGAGCAGAGGAACTCAGTTCTGGATTCGTGAGAAGCTTGATCGAATTCTTGCGAATGATAAATGGCTGGATTTATTTGGGGAGGCAAAAGCAATTTCCTTCGAAGCACCTATGAGTGACCATATTCCTCTTGCTCTATGGCCCATCCCTTCAATTCGGACAACGAAAAAAAGGAGATTCAAGTTTGAAAATTTTTGGTTCAAGGAGGAACAATGCAGAGAAATTGTCAACAATAGCTGGGTGAACACGAGATATCTGAATCTCAGCGCTCGTTTCGAAGTATGTGGGCTTGCTATCTGGAGATGGGGGAAGGACTTCCACAAAAACTTTCAACCTAGGATTGAAACTTGCAGAAGGCAGATGGATACCCTCAGACACCGCACTGATAATGAAGGAATCTTTCAATTCTCAAAGGCCCAAAAATCTTTCTTGGGGCTGCTCGACCAACAATCCACTTTCTGGAAACAAAGAGCAAAGCTTTTCTGGCTCAAAGATGGAGATTCCAACACCAGGAGTGGAGCAGGTGACCAATATCCGGTGCTTCAATGCATTGATCCTAGTGTTACAAGTGCCCAGAACACCTCCCTTCTTCGACATTTTTCTAGAGAGGAGGTCAAGCTGGCCGCTTTCAGTATGCACCCGGACAAGAGCCCAGGTATGGATGGATTAAACCCCGGGTTTTTTCCAGAATTATTGGAGTATTGTTGGGGAAAGTATTGTGGGGTTATGTAATGAGTTCATTAGAACTGGCAGATTACCATCTAAGCTTAATCAAACTCACATCGTGCTGATACCTAAGAAATCTGACCCTGAGACCATGAAGGACTTGAGACCGATAGCTCTCTGTTCTGTGGCTTATAAAATCATGACCAAGGCCATAGCCAATAGGCTTAAACCTATTCTGACTGGGCTGATCTCGGATTGCCAAAGCGCTTTCGTGCCAGGTAGACTCATAATTGACAATATTATGGTAGCTTTTGAAATGCAACACTTCTTGAAACGAAAAACCCAAGGAAAAGATGGTTTTGCAGCTCTGAAATTAGATATCAGTAAGGCTTATGATAGAGTCGAATGGCCCCTTCTCCGTAATATCATGTTGAAAATGGGTTTTGAGGAGCGATGGGTCAATCTGATTTATGAATGTATGTCCACAGTGGAGTATTTTGTTCTGAACAACGGAGAAGAGATTGGTCCAATATGTCCTGAGAGAGGCCTTAGACAAGGGGATCCACTATCTCCCTATCTGTTTCTAATTGTGGCCGAGGGCTTTAGTGCGATGATCAGGAAGTACGAAAATCAGGGTCTGATTCATGGAATTTCTGTAGCTAGGACAGCCCCCTCGGTGTCTCACCTATTCTTTGCGGATGATAGCTATATCTTCTTTAAAGCCAATCTTTCAGAGCCCCGAAACCTCAAGAATCTATTGGACTCTTACGCCATGGCCTCTGGACAAATCATAAACTGTGCCAAATCCTCTCTTTGTTTTAGCAGGAATGTCAAACCAGAATTGAGACATGCTGTGGGACAGATTCTAGGAGTTGAGGCATTGGGAGGAGTTGACAATTACCTTGGTCTACCAATGCTTGTGGGGAGAAATAGGAGTCAGATTTTTGGATTCATCAAAAATAGAGTTTTGAATCGTATTCAAGGGTGGAACAACAGGTTCCTTTCTAGGGCGGGGAGAGAGGTCCTTTTGAAAAGTATCCTGCAAGCATTGCCTTCTTATGCTATGGGGGTTTTCTTGCTTCCTAAGAACATCATTAAATCGATTAAAACAGCTTTCAATGCATTCTGGTGGCGTGGAGGAGGTAGAAACAGTAAGGGGATTCTATGGAAGAGTTGGAAAAGCTTATGTATTCCCAAGCAGTGGGGAGGCCTCGGGTTTCGAAGACTAAGGGACTTTAATCTGGCTTTGCTATGTAAACAATCCTGGAGACTCATTCATTACCCAAATTCCCTTGTGGCCAGAATATACAAAGCTCGATACTACCCTAACTCCACCTTTCTCGAGGCAGGTAGTGGTTCTAACCCTTCCTTCATCTGGACTAGCTTAATCAACACTCAGGATATTATTAGGAGGCATACAAGGTGGAGATTCGGCAAAGGGGACAAAATTCAGATATGGAAAGACAAGTGGTTGCCTGACAAAAGCAATCCAAAAGTGATTTCTCCTCCTTATCCTCTTATGGAAGATGCTACTGCGAATTCTCTTCTTGAGGAGTCGTCATTTATCTGGGACGAGGAGATTATTCGCACTATTTTCACTCGAAGGGATGCAGATTTAATCATGAATATACCTCTATCCAGAAATCAAGTAGAAGACAAACTGATATGGGAGCCTGAGATTAATGGGGGATTCTCTGTGAAAAGCTGTTATAAGGTTCTAGGGGGTGATCTTAGAGATGAGGACAAACTGATTTGGTCTAAGTTCTGGAATCTAAAATTACCTCCAAAGGTGAGACTGTTCTACTGGCAACTCTGCTCCAAGTGTCTACCCACCATGGACTTACTAAGGATGAGGAAAGTGGAGTGTGATGATATCTGTAGTATATGCAGCAATGGGCAGGAATCTATTGAACACTTATTCATGGATTGCTCCTTAGCTTCTGATTGCTGGAGGGCTTTAAACATCAATCTGACTCATATTCACAATGAAACATTATGGGAATGGATGGACAGATTATATTCTTCTCTCAGCTCTGAACATATCTGCAGGTTTATTATGTGTTGTTGGGAGGTGTGGAACCAGAGAAATAATAAGATTTGGCATAATAAATCACCACAACCAGCAGCCATGATTATCCGTAATGCCAATTCTTTCCTCACTAGCTTGAGGGAAGCTGGAGTTGTAAACAGAAACATTACGTCCAGAGACGAACAAAATATCACCAGATGGTCACCTCCTCAGCCGGGTTTTCTGAAGCTCAATGTTGATGCTGCTCTGGACAGTAATCGGGCGAAGATGGGTTTCGGCTATGTTCTTAGAGATGAGTTCGGCAAATTTGTTGCAGCTAAAAGTTCACGAATGTCAGGGACTTATCTTCCAAGAGAAGCTGAAGCAGCGTCGATTAGAGAAGTTTTGAGCTGGCTTAAGGAAAGAAATCTCAGCAATATCCATGTTGAATCCGACTCTCTTCTAGTTGTCCAATCTCTTGAACACACTTGCGGGGACTCCTCTTTTAGTTTAATTCTTAGAGATATTAAACATCTTTTGAGTGATCTAACTCATGTGTTTATCACTTTTGTAAAACGATCAGCGAATCAGGTTGCTCATTTGTTAGTTAAGCAATCTGTTTCTATGCATGGTTGCTTGGAGTGGTCTTCCAACCCTCCCTTTATCATTTGTAGTGCTTTGTCTTCAGACTTAATCTAATGCTTTTTCTCTTCAAAAAAAAAAAAAAAAAAAAAATTAATGAGTAATGGGAATGGACCAAACAGGTTACAGGTCACAGCACGGTTAACTGGTACTCAGGTAGCTGGTAGGTAGCATGAAATCTTGAAATTAAATGAAATCTCCAAAGTACCCTTTAGCTCCCACTATATATTGATTTGACCCACCAATCCGTAGACTTCCTCTGTAACCGCCTTCCCCCCTTCTCTCCGCCGGAAAACTTCTCTCAGTACATGGCTAAGCCGTAGGGTTTCAAAGCAGAGAGCGGACAAGGGGCATAACAATTTCCGTGAATACGAAGGAATTATCTTTCTATATTTGGAATATTTGTTTAATTTTTTTCTTCAATTTTTTCTTTTTGGGAGGGTTAATTTCTACAGTTGAACGTGCCGTAGAGAAAAGCTAGGGTTTCTGTTCATGAACTGCTGCGAAGCCAGTTTAATGTATTATGAATGGAGTGTAGGCTTCTCTATTCCGGCGATTTCTTTGTAGCGCTTACAGCCACCGCACTTTGCTGCCTCTTCGCCGTCGTCGTCGCTCTATTCACCTTCCGATCAAAATCCAGGAAGCAATCGAAATCAGAATCCAAGGCCTCGGTTTGTTCTTGTTCCTGTAAGGCGAACGGCGGTGTGGAAACGACGGCGTATTTGAACGGCGGGGGGAGTTGCGGTCCTGGTGGTGGGAAACAGATGGTTGAGAGTGGGCCTGTGGCAGTGGCGGCGGCGGAGAGGCTGACCGGGGCGTCGATGATGGAACAGCTGGTTCCGGAGATCACGACTCATGCGCTCAGCTACTTGGATTATCCCAGTCTTTGTCGGCTGTCAATGACGAATTCGCTAATGCGGAAGGCTGCAAATGACGACAATGCGTGGAAGGCTCTATATCATAAGGTCCAATTTCCAAGAACTTTATTCTTTTTCCAAGCTTTATATTTGGTTTGTGGTTGAACATTATTATATGCAAATGCACTCTGCAGTAATTTTATCAGCTGTAATTCTGTAAATGGTACTGTATTATATTTTTGTTCATGGCATTTAGTAGTTGTTTCGTAAGGGTGAAAAATTACTTTCTGACTGGCTTGCATAGATTGCTGAATTGGTGTTAGATAGATATAATTACCATTTTTTTCATGAAAAGAATGGAAAAATACAAGGCATGTTTACTAGCTTGTTCTTTTGCTTGAATATGTGCAAGTTATGTGTATAATGAAACAACCATTTCATAAAACCCATTGGATCTTAATTTAGAAATGTGAGAACTGAATCTTGCACTCCCTTATTGTGCTTCTAGGATTTCACATTGGAGCAGGATAGTGTGACACCAGTTAATGGATGGAAAGCATACTATGCAGCTACAAGAGCCATTATGAACACCAATGCTGAGTTTTTTAAGATCATCAAGGAGAAATCAGTGCCTGCAATGGGTCGTTTTTGGCTCAAGTCTGATTATGTAAAGTGTTTTCACGCCAATGGAGAGTTCTTTACTGGGTAAGTGGCATTCCATCTTGTCATGCTATTTACAATTTGATATTTTTTAATTGCATTATATTTGTGTGTGTGGTGGTGTATTGTGCTGAACCATCTTGTAAAAGGCACTGGTACCGATTTACATTATAGACTTTCCCTCAGTGTTATCAGGCGACGCCTAGGCGTCCGGTCGCCTAGTGTGCTTTCTCGCCTAATGTTTTTGAATCAGAAGTGGAAAGATATTGTGCATCAGAAGTGGAAGACTCATTGACGAAGTTTGAAACAATTTAGCTGATATGAACTTTGATGCTTTCAAAGATATATTAAATAAGGCATGTGCACTAGTGTGCATTCTATCTTGGTGATAGCTATACTGATCCCCTTGAAATGTTCAATATTTAGTTTTATTTAAATGAGTTCTACTACATAGACTCCCAAATCATACTCCCTAAATTTTACTCCCTTATGTGGCGGGCACTGCTTTTTTCATGTGGGTCCCAATACAAGTGTCTACCTTAAGATTTTGTGTGTGGGAGTACATGTAGTATTTTCCTATTTAAATTTGGCAATGAACTGCACTTAAGCTTTTCTACTAGTTCTTCTATTCCAATTTGCTTGTGTTTTCATTTTACTTTTTTGGAGGTTTGATTATTTACTTAATTTATTTCTGTAGTGTTTTTGGTTGGGTATCCATTGAATTGAATTGAACTGAACATTAACACTTTTGAAATGACTATTAAGAGAAAGATAGAGTATGTAATTAGGGTGTAGAACTGTATTTTTAGTTTTAACTTTTGATTTGGGAAATGAAAAAGACAATAGTAATATGGCATTCGAAAACTTATCGAAGTGGAATGTTTTCCATTTTTAGAAAACTGAAAGTTGTGTTTGACAATCAAATAAGTAACTAACTAGAGTGCAACTTAGATGCATTGCAAGATAATGTTCATTATACTCTGCTGTCCCTGAATACAAAATATTTTATGTTAGTCTATAGATATTTGCTGTCGGGCAAGATTTAAAACCGGTTGTTAACTATATATGCTGTTCAATTTCTGCTTATACAGTTATAATGCAGTGATGGAAAGCTGGCAGGGTGCTTTTAACTGGGAGCAAAGTGCTGATTTCCAGATCCGGGATGTGAGGGCAAGGGTGTTTCCAGATGCTGCTTGGGTCTCCATGAAAGCTTATCTTCAGCAACCTGCACGGCCATTTCACATGACTAATGTTTTTGAATCCCATAATGGGAGGTGGTACATGGTGCATCATCACTGTTCAATAATGCTTCTCCATGGAGGTCCAGAGCAACAAATTGTGCAGGGATAATTAGCTGCAAGCATGATAGAAGATGACAATTTATATGTTAGAGAAAGCTTGTATAGTTTTGCTTTATATTAGGAGTGACTCACTTTGGAATATCTCCATAATTCCGTATGTATTTACTTTTCTCCAGTTTTAGGTTCTGGTGGAAGAGAAGTCGCAAGTTTCTTGCCACCCCGATTTTCCAGGTACTGATAATCATGGCCATATACATGCACAGGATGAGAATTTTTTTTTCTTTTACGTTTTTTTTTTTTTTTTTTTTTTTTGGAAATTTGGAATTGACTTGTATGAAAAGTCGGGGTATTCTGTTTCAAGTGAGAATTGAGATCTTTTATCACCAAAATGTGGTAAAGGTTATGAATGAAAATATTGTAAGCCTAGAAAGGTGCCCTTGTTGTGGTTGAAACAGTCAGCTTTTTGTTCATCTAACTACAGCAGACTGTCATGGAACAATGCCTGTTATTGAGTTATTACTTTTGTAATGTCAAAGAATTGGGTAATTTTTCTGCCTTCCTACATCACTTTTGAGAGAAGAAGCTGCCAGCTGGTGGAATCTCAAATATGAACGCTTCTTGTACAATTAAGGGTTAACAAGTGCCTAAATAGCTAAACATTTAGACCTGGCAATTTGGATAAATAGATTTGTTAATGGGTTGATATGAACAAGATAACCATTGATGTACCTGTTAAACATGATTTTTAAGCACCAATAAAATAGTAAAGATATTCAATTCATAGCTTATTATCATATTATTATTCATAAAATGATAAAATAACATCTAAAGATAACTAATGCCAATCTGGTATGATTAAAAGACAAAGATATGGACATTTCTTAAGAGGACTTTCATTTACAATTGTTGTACTATGGACCAGGGTATAACCTTGCAAGGTAGATTCTAATTCAAAACAACATTTAGATTGATTATCACATTGCAGTTAACATGTGTGTCATTATATACCTGCGGGTAACATTATGTACTTGCAATGCTAATTGTTAGCACATAATTGAATATCATTTTGAACTAGGGTCCATAATGCAAGGTAAATACTAATCCGTGGTTTAATTTGCGTATCATTTATGTTGATTGGGATTTGTATATTCAATATATATTGAGAAATGATTGATGATTGACTCTTTTACCTAATGATTCATACGAAATAGTCTTAGTTTACAACATCTAAAAGTAACTAATGCCAATCTTACAGGGTTAAAACAATATAATTGTGGCAGATCTAAGCAAAAATTGGCAGGTCTAAGCTAAATGCATTAATTAAGTGTTCATATTTTATCACAAAATATGAATTGTGTATGATAAGTGCATTGTGATATGAGCCGTCTAACCAAAGGTATATGAGTGAGCGGAGCGGGAATGGTGCTATAAATTGATCCTCAGTCCTCACCGGCCACCATATCTCTCATTACTGGAATCAGTTAGGATCTGGGCGCAGCTGTTATTTCAACTCCACTCCAAATTTAATTTGCATAACAGAAAAGTGGAAGTTGAGAGGGGCTATGGACGCAGAGACAGTGAGACAGATCACGAAAATCACAACAACTGTGTTGGAACTTCTCAACTCCTCTAACAAGTGAAGGAGATCCGAGAATCTGCATCCAAGGAGCTCGGGATGGACCTCTCCGAACCGAGTCGGAGGACATTCGTAAGCTCGCTGCTCGAATTGTACCTCGTCGAACTACAGGCCAAAGAGGAGGCAGGGGCGGAAGAGAAAGCTGAATTGTACGATGACCTCGTTATCTGCCGAGTGAGTTATATTCATATATCATCCCAATATAATTTTGTTACTAATGCATATATCTTCTATCTTCTATCTTCTATCTTCTATCTATTATAATAAAACAGAATCCAATTTTGATTCCAATTCCCGCCACACAAAACTACACAGTTTTGAATCAAGACAGTTGGTTTTATGTGCTAATTGTGATCTTAATTGTGGACAGCTGATTGCCTATGGAATTGCAATAGGAATTATCTTCTTTTAAAAGATCATGTCCCTTTGTTTTCTTAACGTTGGCATTAAATAAATAATTTATTAAATTTAATAAAGAGTTAATGCCATTTTTTGTCCTAGACTTATTAGGGCATTGACACTTTTCATCCTCTATAATAAAAATTGTCAATTTGTAGCCACGCTTATTGGTCGTTGGACACTTTTAGTCCTCCGTTACAAGTGCCGTTATTTGACCGTGAAATTGAAGGGTATTGCTGTCTTTTTATGTCTCTTCTCCAAATCTTGACAATCTCCAACCAAAGCTCCCATTCTTATCCATCCCGTTCAATCTCACCAAGTACGTTAACAATTTCATTCAGGGCAGGACGGAGATCCACAACATCGAATGGTGGAGCTTCACCTCCTCATTCGACGTGGGCCCCAAATCCCCGGGGTCGCTGCCGCCGCCAATCACCAGCTTGATGAACCTCGCGACGAACTCCATAACATCGCCGTCGTCGGAGAATGGCGAACAAGGTCTCCAAAGACTCGAAGAAGCCTGTTCGAAGTAAATATTTAGCTAATTCAAAGTGTTTCGTACAAAATTCGAAGCAATTGCTATCTGATTTGAAGACCCACACCAATCAACCGAGTCCTACTTAAGCATTTCATCGAAAACCTTTCTCCCATACTCAACCCCACCGCTATAGCAACAGTATATATGAACCAAAGTGTTCAAAACATTTCTATCATCACTGAACCCCAACTTCACCACTAATCCATGCACCGTTTCGCTTAGCCTCAAGTCTCCAATGCCAACACATGCCTTAAGAACAAAAGGGTAGGTAAACTTATTAGGCAAAACGCCACGATGAAACCAGAGGTGATTGGTTCAATTGTGCCAAGATCTCCCTTCTTTGGGTTCACAGTGGTGCCGTAGACGGTGCTGATGGTCGCTGCTGCACGTGGACGAGGGAGAGAAAGAGAGAGCGAAGACCAGAGCTGTTGGATCACTTTCTGATCTGTTTCTGGCAATCACAATCTGCCCATGCCCATCGTCGCTGCTCGCCGGAATAACATCATCATCAATCTCGCCGGTCAAGCTTATTCACTTCCGCTACTCCCGCCTCCACAGCACGCCAACCACCTGCTGCTCTTCACTGCTTCAACTGGATCTCCTTACTGTTGCCGTTGTTCACAGTCGCAACTGCCACAGCTGCCACCGACTGAGAAGACCTCCACTTCTACTACTACCACTGTCGCAACCGCTACAGCTGCCATCTTCGAACGCCTTGGAACTTGTTCTTCTTGTTGACAACCACTTAATGAAGGAATGAAAGGATTAGAAGAATGATTAGAAAGCCGCAACCGCACAAATGGAAAAAAAATAGAAGAAGAAGTCATAAAAGGATAGAATTGCCCTTCATTTTCACGGTCAACAGACGATTGAAGTGACGGAGGATTAAAAGTGTCCAATGATCAATAAGTGTGGCTACAAATTGGCAATTTTTATTATGAAGGACGAAAACTGTCCAACGGCTAATAAGTCTAGGACCAAAAATGGCATTAACTCTTTAATAAATACATTGAGAATAGAACTCTGGTTTATAAAAGAAGTCTAAGTTCAATTCAAATACAATATGGTAATTCTATATCACTTCAAACGCGTCAAATCCTATATAAAATATTCAGTATGCCACATGTTCCTGTACATGGAGGTGAGAGGCCGAAGATGGTAGAACTGCATAAGGCATGTTGGGAAAGAATTCACGAGGATGAAGAAGACAGTTGCTTGAATATTAAGGTATGTTAAGTCTCTTAATTGAAAACACTTGCACATTAGGTAAATCTCTGTATCCTTTTTAAACTTTTTTTTTTTTAGAGTTAATTACCGGTTTGGTCCCTCGACTATGAGAATTTCACCACTTTGGTCATCGACTTTCAAAATTGATCAATTTAGTCCCCAACTATACAATTTTTACCCGAAATGGTCCTAGGTACAAACTGTCGTTAGTTAGACGTTAAAACTGAGGACAGAAATGTAATTTCACTTTATTTGCCTTCCCAGGTGTAGCTGGTTTAATCCCAAAATCTAACCCTAACCGCAGGCCAAGTGCAGCGCCCAAAGCTGGGGGAGAGGGGGAAGACTACGGCGATGCCGAGTGATCTAAGGCCGCGTTTGGCTTTTTGTCGCTTTGTTTTGGCAGTGCCGTTCATCTCTGCTATCTCTTGGGGGGGGGGGGGGGGGGTCATCTGTTGTTTTCTTTCTTCTACGGTTGTTGTTCTGTGTTTGAGTTGTTGGGTTTCCATGGAAATGATAATGGGCTTGTGGTACAATGGACGAGAGGGCGAAAGAATCGGAGGAGCTGAGAGGAGCAAGTGAGGAAAGCAATCCGCCCGCCGCTCCCACTGCCACCGCCTGTACTACTTTCTCCGACGATAGTTCGGATTTAGCCATCCAACGCAAGCATGCAGCAATCAATTGAGACTCAAACTCAGCTCTAGATTCCACCCAATACTTTCTCTCTCGTTTCTTTGAATCCAAACAATCAATTGAGTTGGACATATCTCGGATCCACAAAACCCAAGACCCTCAATCCAACCCAAATCTTAAATCGGAACTGGATAAGGTCTCAAATTCAATCGCTGCTCTTGAAAAGCAAGTTAACGGCGAACAGAACCCAGCAGAGTGTCCCAGTGGTCTCTTTCTCTCCTCGGCAAACTGTAGCGCGACGACGTAGGCAGAGCAGCTACGGCGGCGGGTTTCGAAGCGGTTGGGCAGCAGTTGGGCGAGGTATTCTCCCCTCCGTTTCTCAACAATCTCAGTTTCTGGGTAGTACGACAGCAGGTGGCGGTGACGGTTCCTTCCGGCGGTACAACTTCTCTCACTCGTTCGTTAACTTGAAGATAAAGAATATTGGCGGGAATTTCCTATTTTACCCTTGCATTTTGATAGTAAAATAGACTAAGGACCATTTTGGTTAATGTTTTCATAGTTGGGGACTAAATTGGTCAATTTTAAAAGTCGAGGACCAAAGTGGTGAAATCCTCATAGTCGAGGGACCAAATCGATAATTAACTCTTTTTTATTTTATTTTATTTTATTTTTTATTTTAAGAAAGAATAGAATTCTAGAAATATGAGATTTCAAGAAAACACCAGATTTCACTTGTACAGGGAGCTGTGTTGAATCTGTGACAATGGTCTCTACTGCAAATTTGGTAAAGCTCGAACCCTTTCACTTTCCCATTGCAAATTTAAGTTAAAATGAAGCAGCACATATGTTGCTTATAGAAATAAATATTAAGTAAATAAAATAGAATGTGAGAATTAAATTTCTAGATAGAAGTATAGGCAAATTTAAGTTAAAATGAATCAACTTTGCTGTCAAATTACTTACTTTTATGAGAGTGTTAAATGATGAAAAGATTGTTTCTACCTTCTATTCCCCCTTGGATGGGGATCAAGAAAGAGACCTTTTATCAAAAAGTATTGAAGAAGATGCAGAGGATGACTTAGAAATACTAATACTAAAATTCTACAATTATGTGCTTCTATATTATTTTTTTTTTTAGCTTTATTTGATATTCTTAAAAATGTTTTCTACAACTTTTAGGAAGCATCACAAGGTGATGAATAGTGGCGGAGCCACATATACAATGCAGGGGGCCTTGGCCCCCTCCAATTTATTTTATTTTATTTTATTTTTTTTATATTAATATTATAAGATTTTATTTTATTTTATTTTATTTTTGTTGCCAATTGGCCTCCCTTGTCCCATCCAAAAGGTTCTAGAATAGACTTAGGCCTTGTTTGGTTGGATGTAGTTTAGTTGTAATTGAATTGTAATTCAATGAAGGCCTTAATTACAGTGTTTGCTGGGAAGGAATTGCAATGAAGGCCTCAATTAAAATGTTTGGAAGGACATTGTAGTCTTTATACTATTTTTTCCCTTCACATCCCCAATAATTTTATTCCTCCCTACCAAATAATGTAATTTGAATTCCTACATTATTCCTATCTTATTCTTTTCCCACCGAATTGCAATTCATTTCCTTCCTCCCAACCAAACACCCCATTAGTGTAAGCTTTGAAAAAAGTTCAGCTCCAAAAACTTCCAGAATACTCTTTACTCCAAAATTCAGCCTCATTCTCATCCAAAAAATTTAGCCCCCCACCCCTACTCCCATAGTCTCATCCAAAAGCTTTAAAAAATTTCAGCTCCAATAAAAAGATCTCGCTTTTCTGACAATTATCGTAATTGGCCCCATGCATTCCTAAATCCTGGCTCCGCCCCTGGTGATGAAGTTAACAATCCAAACATGGACAACATGATTTTAGTACTTTTGTGAAGTGTTGTCTCCTTGACCAGTTTTCTTCAGCACATAACTTGAAAAAAGGAAAGATTGTGTGCATTAAGAAGGAAAAATTGTCATAGTGGCAGTTTTTATGATTTGAAGAAAAACAATTGACTATGTGATGTTTTGTTGTGGGGATCCCTTACTAGACTTTTGGTTTTAATCCTACTAGACAGTGACAACTTTTCTTTGTGAAGTACATGGGCTTTTTATTCTTGCATGCAATCCATGAATGAATGCATTGTAGGAAAAATTGAAGTATTTTGAAAATTATCATCTACTACATCCTATGTTAATTATTGTTTATTTCTTTATATGTATTCCTATTTTCTATTTTTCTACACAAAATTACAGGTAATTCAAGCAACACAATGTAATATGGATAATCACAAGTGGCGAGAAATGTAGAGCAGAAAGTCAAGTAATCAGATGCAGCATGTGTGGTTTTTGAAGCTGTACTTATAAAAAAAAAATAGATACATATACATATATTTTCAAGTATTGCAAATGAATTTGTAATCCTATATAGAGTAAGATAATAAAACTTAGCTATTTTATCAAAAAATACACAATTTGTCTATTCATTTATATATATCAATATTGCGTTCTAGGTATTCTATCAAACTTAGCTATTCTGCTTAACTATATGGCCACAACTATAGAATTTATGGCAAAATATATTTGTTAAGGAATATACATACTGCATGTGTTATTATATGATATTAAAAAAAAAAAAAGTCAATTCAAATACGAGTACCTTCTATATTAGTAGAAAAAATAAATTGCATCTCCTAATTTGATGTCATGCGTGCTCCAGATCTACAATTACAACTTACAATTACAGAATTTTTTTTTTTTTTTTTTTTTTTAAAAACAAACATAAAGTTAGTGCCAAATTTAGGTATAGATCTGTAGTAAATAGAAAAAATAAACAATATTACTTCAAAAAAATACCAGATCTGTAAAATAACTAAAAAGGAAATGTCCAAGGGTCATGCTCCAGATCCAGGATTACAGCTACCATCTATTGTCATTTTTGAAACCGACATCTCATAGAACAAAAACAGATCAAAAAATACTTGAAGTCAGTGACAAAGTTAATAGGTATAAAACTGTAATAAAAAAAACAATATTACTTCAAAAAAAAATACCAGATTTGTAAGATATTGCTATAAGTTAGTGAAAAAAATTATATAGATCGAGCGAAATGCATTCTTCCTAGCCTTCTGTGTGAATCTTTCAAGATAAAAACTTCGAGATAAGTTTGTATGCATTTTTTAGAAAAGATACAAAGAACATGATATTTGAAAGAATTGTTCGAACAAAGAACATGATAGATTGATAGATGTGGAAAGTGAAGAATAACCTAGCTAGAGAACAGTGCACAGATGCAGTTGTGAGTGAGTGGGGTTGTCGGTGTGTACTAACATATTTATAGTGGTGGGCCAGGTCAAAATTTGGACTGGAATATGGGCCTTCTTATTAATTTTATAATTTAATGGACTCAACATATATCAATTGTTCCACAAATGCTTAATTTTTTTTTTCTTACACGTACATACACATATATATATCAGAATTATGTTTTAAAAAGCTTTGATGAATATTTGCGTTGTATTTTTATGTGTCAAAGTTTTGATATGTTTCGATATAAATGTAAATATATTACCGATTGTGAGTGTGGGTGTGTGTTTGTCTGTCGTCTTTTTATACTATTACATACAAAACGATGTAACGGTATTTTTATGCTTTTTATATTTGTTGTGTATGTTCTTTTTATAGTAGACAGATAACAAATTATAATCAATATTTGTGTTTTATATACAAGGCAAATGCCAAAGAGGGACCTCGCAAGGATTGAAGGGTAACATACTCTCATCTATTATATTATTGTGCATGTGGTCATGCTAGTTTTCCTGTTCCTTTTATTCTCATTATTATATGCTGTGAATGTGAACCAAAGTCTTTGCCATGCGTTTCAATTGCCATCTGCAGGAATAACCTTGACTATAGAGTCATGGGCATGCTTAAAGGAAAATTTCCCTGTAATTGACGACGCCATCAAGGAAATGCAATCTAGGCTGAATTGAGAGTTTGATCTTTGGTAAGATTTTTCCTATAATATATTATATATTAGGGCTTTAATTTAAATGGTGCGTGCAAGTTAATTAGGAACCATTACCATATATGTTAGAGAAGAGATCGAGAAGGTTAGAAGGAAGAGGGTCTTCTAGAAGAACCGCTGGACTGCTTAGTTGATCTCCTCCTTGCTGATGCCGGGGGGCTCACTATCGTAGAATAGCCTAATGGGGGCCTAGCCCCCTCCAATGTACCGAAAAAAATATTAATTTTTTAACCAAGTCAACAATTAATAGTGATTAAATATGCTAAAATTGGCTGATAAGCTAATTATTTTTCCAAACAGGGCCTTTAACATCTAAAGTTAACTAATGCCAATTTGGTAAGATTAAAAGACAAAGATGTGGACATTCCTTAGAGGACTTATCATTTACAATTGTTGTACCATGGACCAGGGTTCTCCTTGCAAGTAGACTCTGATAGTCTGATCTAAAACAACATTATTTAGATTATGATATTGTAGTTAATATATTATGTGACATTATATATCTGCGATTAACATTATGTACGTGCAATGCTAATTGCCAGCACATAATTGGACATAATTTTGAATCAAGATTCACAATACAAGGTAAATATCCATGTGTATAATTTGCGTATCATTTATGTTGATCGGGATTTGTATATCCAATATATATTGGGAAATGATTGGTGATTCACTCTGATCTCTTACCAAACGATTCATACGAGATAGTCTTAGCTTACAACATCTAAAAATAACTAATGTCAATCTTACAGGGTTAAAACAATTGGGCCAGATCTAAGCAAAAATTGCCCGGTCTAAGCTAAATGCATTAATTAAGTGTTCATATTTTGGCAATTTATATCCTACACCACCGCGCGCGTTGCACTGTGCGCCCAAATGCAAAACGACGTCGTTTTAATTTAATTTATTTTTTTTTTGAAATTTTCCGCCCCAGTGTATGGCAGTTAATTTTTCTTTAAAAAAAATTCATGTTCAAAAATGTACATAATGTTATACTAGAATACACATAATTGTATACATGAATGTATATAATTATATAACAAAATATACATACTCTTTTTAAAAGATAATACACATAATTTAACATAATACATAATAAACATAAATTTTTAACATAATACACATCAACTTTTAACATAATATACACAAATTTTCTGATTCGGATGTACATAATTGTATAAAAAGAATGTACATAATTGTATAAAAAATGTACATAACTGTATGAACAAATATACATAATTGTGTGAACAAACATACATAATCACAGCAACTTCCTACCGCGCTTCCCAAAACGACGCAGTTTTGGGAGGCACGCGGCGCACAGTGCTACGCGCGCTGTGGTGTAGGGCATAACGATTGTCATATTTTATCACAAAATATGAATTGTGTATGATAAATGCATTGTGATATGAGCCGTCTAATAAAATGTTTAATTTAAATTATATGACGTAACTTAAAAAATGTATCATAATATATGCTTTTGACTCTAATTCAAAAAACGTGAGTCACTTAGAAATGGCATCCCCAAACAAGCCATTAACCAAAGGTATATGAGTGAGCGGAGCGGGAATGGTGCTATAAATTGATCCTCAGTCCTCACCGGCCACCATATCTCTCATTACTGGAATCAGTTATTTCAACTCCACTCCAAATTTAATTTGCATAACAGAAAAGTGGAAGTTGAAGGAAATTAGGTTAGGTTGAGAGGCTATGGACGCAGAGACAGTAGTGAGACAGATCACGAAAATCACAACAACTGTGTTGGAACTTCTCAAGTCCTCTAACAAGGACGTGAACGAGATCCGAGAATCTGCATCCAAGGAGCTCCGGATGGACCTCTCCGAACCGAGCCGGAGGACGTTCGTAAGCTCGCTGCTCGAATTGTACCTCGTCGAACTACAGGCCAAAGAGGAGGCAGAGGCAGAGGCAGAGAAAGCTGAAAAAAGGCCCGAGTACGATGACAGTGATGACCTCGTTATCCGCCGAGTGAGTTATATTCATACATCATCCCAATATATATGTTACTAATGCATATAATATAATAATATTTACTCCGATTCTCTCCGATTAAGCAGTTAGTTTAGGAGTATATATATATATATATATATATATATATATATATATATATATATATATATATATATATATATATATATATATGGTATTTGTATTTCCCCTGATATGAGCTCCCTAAATAAATTTCTCGGAAGAGTGTTTGCATGGAGATCGAACATATATACATACATACAGTCATATCGATTTAACTGTACTGTTTGTTTTATATATTTACAAACATATATGAAATTGGAAACGATATGATATGTAATTTGCTGAATTTTGTGTAGTTGTCGAGTACAAGAAAAGTGACAATCACTAAATATAAAAGGCAGCGTATGATTTCAATCAGGGAGTACTACAAGAAGGCAAATGGCAAAGAGCTACCTAGCGAGAAGGGTAACATACTCTAATTCTTAATTGTTTCATTTTCTTCTATTCTATATGTTTCAAAAATATTTCAAGGCCTTCAAATAATACTACTGTGATTATGCACATTTTCTGCTCCGATCCTCATGTTCGATTGAAGTTAAACACCGGCCGTACCGTGTTAATTAAACTCGATCAACTGGCCGGGAATACTGGACTAGTGGTTCTCATCTTAATTGGCTAAAACATACCAGGATATACTTGGTTTGATTTTGGATCGGTATTTAGGATCTGGAACGGCTTGGAGTGCAATGGGTTTATTTGCAATATTTAGGAGGCTATTTATATATTGATGATAGATATTCTTTATTTTCATTTCATTTTAGACTATTATTAATCTTGTTACATTTTGTGCATATGTATATTTTTCTTTTCATCACATTTGATTTTTCTGATCTGATTAAATGTCCGGCAACAATTGGTTGAAAAAAATTAATTTCTCTCATATGAAAAAGTACCAAATCTAAATACTCATTACTAAAAGCTCAAAATTGAAGTACATCTTATAAGGAATGTAATTAGAAAACCCAAAATCTAATTAAATACAGTGACCACTATCAAAATATTGTCCTTCAATTTTGAATTTTTAGTAATGGTAGTATTGTTTAGACTTTGCTCTTGAAACTTTCTCAAATGAAAGAAAAATTGTTAGTGATTTATGGACATTTAGTCGACAAAATCAAATGTGACGACATTCAAATTAATAGTTGAAATAATAAAATGAGAACATGATAATAAATAGTTAAGGAACAAAAATGACCTCAGTCTTTAGGAGGTTGGATGGGTCTTAATGCAATGGTTGTTCTCTACTTGTCATGCTCAACTTTCTAGCTACCACAGTTTAAACAACCTATTATATTATTGTGCATGTAGTCATGCTAGTTTTCCTGTTCCTTTTTATTCTCATTATTATATGCTATGAATGTAAACCAAGTCTTTGCCATGCGTTTCAATTGCCATCTGCAGGAATAACCTTGACTATAGAGTCATGGGCATGCTTAAAGGAAAATTTCCCTGTAATTGACGACGCCATCAAGGAAATGCAATCTAGGCTGAATTGAGAGTTTGATCTTCTGGTAAGATTTTTCCTATAATATATTATATATTAGGGCTTTAATTTAAGTGGTGTGTGCAAGTTGATTAGGCTTATTAAATAATTTGGTTAGACTGAATATCTCACCAAACTCTTTGCGTAATATAAAGCTAAGGTATAAAGCACCTTTACATTATATAGCACCTTCAGTTTACGGTACTCATAACTAATATTATCCTGCAGGTCTACTGTTCAAGAGGCAAAGCAAATCAACGCAGCTTTCGCTTCCGTTACAAGATCTAACACTTGAGAGAAGTAGACACACACCTAACACCTATCTTCTGGTATGTGCGACCTATTGTTGACTTGTGTAATACTGACCTGACTTAGATCTTCCGGAAAAGTATATACATACATCTCTAAGTGGGTGGTTTTTGAAAGCATAAACTTACTAGATAGCTTGTTCATATGACGACCGACCACATTTCATATGTCTTTCTTGTAGTATTTCTGTCGTGTGTATCATTCTTGTCTACTACCAATGCACACTGCGCTGTTCTTTCGAGCTCTTTTCATTTCATTCAAATAAACTGCTTCAATTCCTCGCAAATATGAAATCTTTTTCAGTCTTTACTTGCTACTCATTTAGAAGCTAGCCTTGGCCGTGTGTAGTCGTGGCTAGTTATTGACACCAATACAAGATGACTTAACTCTTTTTCTTTTGAGAAATGTTAATTGTATTTCTGGTTTCTTTTGACTAACTTAGAAGAAAGGAACCATGGCCGGCCATGTTAGAGAAGATCAGAGATCGAGAAGGAAGATCAGAGGATCTTCTGATCTACTAAAATGGGAACACATTACAGGTTGATATAACGTAAGTGCATGCCTAGCTAGCTGATAATAATAAGTAAGTTATAATGGACTCCTGTCATGTGAAAGCTAGGAAGGTCACCACGAGTTCAGCTGAATAAGATATCGGACACGTTTTGCTTAGTTGCTAAGATTGCTCCCTAATTTTACTCAAAATGGTACAGTAGTTGCACCCAATCTTATTCATAAATTTGTTTTTAATTATAAATGCAAATATTATATTATATTGCACTTTTCATATTACGTACTTAAGCCCCTTAAGACAAGAAAAGTAATAAATTATGTTTCAATTAGAACTATCAAAATGAATTTTGCCTATTAGACTAACTTATCCCGCTCCTTATATCTCCCCTATACTTATATTTGGGAGTTGCCATTTGCCCCTAAAAAATGACACATTTCTTATTATTGATTTCAAATCTAATGGATGAAATTTCACTAGTAGAAATTATGGAATTTCCGACCACCTAAAAGTGATCTTAAATCAAGTCGAAGGCCTTGTTCCGACCACTTTTGGTATCCGGAAAAACCTTTGTTGCTATTTCCGACCACTTTTTGGTATTAACTTGATTTAAGATCACTTTCAGGTGGTCGGAAATTCAATAATTTCCAGTAGTATTTTTTTATCTAATTTTTAATTTATTTTTTCATTTTAATTGCCCTCAATTTTTAAAGAAATAACAATTTTACCATTACTTTTTTTGTCTTCTTCCTCTTTGCCTTGATGTGATCTTTGTCTTCTTTTTTCTCCATCATTCCAACACTCGATTCTTTTTTCTTTTTTTTTTAAACATTTTTTTTAGAAAATCATTACATTATTCTAGCTAACATCTCCATTCTCTCCCTCAAAACCAAATCTAATGTCCTCCCGCATGTTCCTAATTCAATTCTTGTATATCATGTTGGTATCTAAATAACTTATTTATGTATTCTTATTTATTTTGTCATATAACAATTATTAAAAATTATATATATTATTATTTAAAAATTAGAACATATTCGTTTTAAAAATAAAAAATAAAAAATTAGAACATATATAATAATTGATTATTGGGTATGATGTTTTGCGTAAAGCGCGTGCCCTCGACTAGTAAGTATATATATAATGGGCAGCAGCCCAGTTGGCCAACACGTATGGTGACCTTTTGTAATTTTGCACTTGTATCTGACAATCTTTTGTACTTGTTTGTAAACTTTCAAAATAAGAAAGATTATTGCAAGCCGCTTAAGCTCAAAAAAAAATTTTAAAAATAAAAAATAAAAACCACATCACCTTACAAGAAAGAGAATTTTAGGGATGAAGTTAGCCTAACTTGTTTTACGAAGGACGGTCTAGGATCAATAGAAGTTTTGACCTACAATAATGACACCCCTATTAATATTATTCTCAAATTAAATAGAAAAATTTCTGGCAAGTTTTTTTGTAATACTCTCCCACTTTAAAAAATAAACCCTATAATTATATCATTATATTTTCAATTCAAAACTATTTTCTTTACATCTTTACAATTTTCAACTCACTTTCAAACTTTAATAATATAATAATAAAAATAATATAATGATAATAATAAAATTGTTTAAAATTGCTAAAATCTAACTTGCAGAGTTTGACAATAATATATATATATATATATATATATATATATATATATATATATATATATATATCCGTATTTTTTTAAAAAAATGCTATGGCATTTGTCACGTCGGATTGCCATCAAATCGGCGCTGTTTTAAGGGTGCGGAGGTTGTTATATCTGGTGGGGCGTGGTATTTTTGATTAAAATTATTTATATCTCTGCGCTCCTTCATCAATATTGTGTACAACTGGTGGGTTTACTGGTTTAATGTTAGCTCAACCGTCCCTGGGAAAGGTGGGATTTGTGTACAAAATTATTATATCACAAACAATATAATTTTGCCTTAGCTTCTATTTAACAAATGCAGTTTTGTTTATCAGTCATCGTCACTGCTGTTACGTTCTCTAATGGAAGCATGGACACGGTTGCCAATTGGACGGATTTTCCAATACCCAAAATTCATGTTCCCCTTTAAGAAACCCCAAGTGTTGTATATATATTGTGCATGCATTGATTGAAGGGAAAGGGTGGTCTACCCAAAATTTTCACAAACAGTAAAGAGAGATAGATGGCTAGCCTTGGCAATACATGTTCTTCTGGTTTGGCTTTCAAGAATAAAGATTCATCAAGAAATGGAGTTTCTATTTGCCAATACAATGGGCTTCAAACCACCCAATTGAGATTGGGTTCAGCAGCCTCTAAGGCAAAAGGTGTGTGACAGACACCATCAATCAATCTATCATTCTCTTCATTATAGTATTGTATTATGGTTACAATGCTGTTTACTTGTGATCATGTTTTTGTTGATGTTTCATTGTTTCTGCTGCAAATTTTATAGCTAAATGAAGGCTTTTTGTATGAATCATAATAATTGTTCACTGCATTCTCCTTGTCCAAGTTTAACGTGGCATTAAGAATTTCCTGTTTTCAGCTCCAAGATGCAGGAGAATCAGGGCCATGGCATCTCCAAATGTTTCGGCTCCCAAGCGAGAAACAGACCCCAAGAAAAGGATTGTCATAACTGGAATGGGCCTTGCTTCTGTGTTTGGCAGTGACATTCATAAATTCTATGACTGTCTTCTTGAGGGACAGAGTGGGATCAGTTTAATAGACAGATTTGATGTTTCAAGTTACTCAGTTCGGTTCGGGGGACAGATACGAGACTTCTCCACTCAGGGTTACGTAGATGGAAAGAATGATCGCCGTCTGGATGACTGCTGGAGATACTCTTTGGTTGCTGGGAAGAGGGCCCTTAATGATGCAAATCTCACCCAGCAAGTTCTTGATACTGTGAGCCTTTAAAGTGCTGTCAATTCTAGCTTATCACTACAGCCATTGCTTTCATGACTGAAAAAAAAGAGAAAATATTTCCTTGTATTATGCAGATGGACAAATCCAAGATTGGCGTTTTGATTGGATCAGGATTGGGAGGAATGACAGCCATCAGCAATGCGGTTGAGGCCCTAGTTCAAAAAGGATACAAGAAAATAAGCCCTTTTTTCATTCCTTATGCGATTACCAACATGGGTTCGGCTTTGTTGGCTATAGACACTGGTTTAATGGGTCCAAATTATTCGATTTCAACAGCTTGTGCAACTGCAAATTACTGCTTCTATGCTGCTGCGAATCACATCAGAAGGGGCGAAGCGAATATCATGGTGGCTGGAGGGACTGAAGCGGGTGTCATGCCTGCTGGGGTTGGTGGCTTCATAGCTTGCCGTGCCTTGTCCCAGAGAAACGACGAACCGGAAAAGGCTTCAAGGCCATGGGATAAAAACCGGGATGGCTTTGTCATTGGGGAAGGCTCTGGTGTACTGGTATGAATAAATTAGCCCCATCTGAAATGATCTCCAGCTAGTTTTAATATATAATTTAGCTTTGATCCCAATTTGTTGTTGACATGTTTAGGTTATGGAAAGCTTGGAGCACGCAATGAAACGAGGCGCCAATATCATTGCAGAGTACTTGGGAGGCGCAGTCACCTGTGATGCTCATCACATGACTGATCCCCGTTCAGATGGACTTGGCGTTTCGTCCTGCATAACCAAGAGCCTAGACGATGCTGGCGTTTCTGCTGAAGAGGTAATAGGATTTACCTTTCATCCATATACATTGTTTTAATTTTAAACATGGTCCAATATATAATAGGTGAACTACATTAATGCTCATGCAACATCAACTCTTGCTGGAGATTTGGCTGAGGTTAGTGCTATCAAGAGAGTCTTCAAGGATACAAGTGAAATTAAAATGAATGGAACCAAGGTGAGAAATTTACAAAAACTCAACTACCAAAGAACTAGAAGGAAGTTTGGTTTTTGAGTTCTGTAATGTTTTTTCTGTGTTCCAATGTATATATTCTAAGTGATCTGATCTCTGCAGTGTATATTTATAACAGTCTTGAGTCTTGACTGATCATCTCCTTCGTTTTCAGTCTATGATTGGGCATGGACTCGGGGCTGCTGGCGGGCTGGAAGCCATTGCAACAATTAAAGCAATCACGACGGGCTGGCTACATCCAACTATTAACCAATATGTACTATATATCGATTATCAATTTTTCGATATTTCTTTTGTTTTCCAACAAACTGTTATTATCAACCGCATTTCCTGATGTGCTTCTCCTGTTATTATAGGACTTGGAGCCTGAGGTTACTATTGACACTGTCCCAAATGTCAAGAAACAGCATGAAGTTAATGTTGGTATGTATTCTCAGTAAACATTATATTACTTCCATTAATGCAGCATTCTTTACTCATTGTTTGTGTTTTGTTCTTATTGTGGCATGCATGCAGCTATCTCCAACTCATTTGGCTTTGGTGGGCATAATTCGGTTGTCGTGTTTGCGCCTTTCAACCCCTAAATAGATTTAAGGGAAATCACTCTTTGTCTTGTGCCATTTGTTAGGTTATTCCTCTACACCAGAAACTCTATGTCAGTTCACTTAGAATCTTTACAATTTTCTGAAATATTGAGGTTTGTTTGGGGAACATTGTCCCTTGTACACTCTTTCAGACTAGGATCAAAATAATGTTGTTTTATGCAACTTCTTAACAAGCTAGAAACCAATCCTGTCAAACAAGTCTTCTGCAATCTGTAATTCATCTTTTGTGTTTATTACTCTTCAATAAACATTTTGGTCTTTGCTAATGTTTCTAACATAACAGCCCGGATATGAAAGCATTGACAAGAACTTGTGACTTTTAAGTATTATGATAATATAATTATGCTCGAAATCCTCATTCACCTTTTTTTGGTGCAAAAATCAAGTGATCTGAATGTTCTTTAAGGTGGTTTAGTTCTCTCAGAAGAAAATCTTGTTAAAATTTTCTTT